ACACCTTTTATTTATTTATAACAATAAACAGGATCTACTATGAAATATAATCACAAAAGCCATGAAAAATAGTAGCACATTGTGTTTTAATAATTGAGGTAGGAGGGTTAAAATATTCCAAAGAGATTATAATATTGATTTGCAAGTTTACATAATCCAATAAATGATGCTGATGTCATTAAGAGTATAGCTTGTTTTTGAATTATAAATAAAAAAAGGTACATATGGTTTTGTGATTTGATTAATTTTGAAAATTTGTTTCATATTTACAGGAAATATCATCCAATGTTTCATAAAGTCACTTTTTTTTATGTAATTCAGGGAGAGTGGGATCATTCAAAAGGAAATATTCATTGTATATGGTGGGGGTATTAGTGTTATAAGAGGGAAGGGAAGGCTTTAAAATAAGTTAATTAGCAAATGTATTTTTTTGAATGGCTCCTAATAATACACAGCTGAAACATTGGCAATCAGATTGTATTTTAGCTCCCATCTCCAAGGTCTATGACCCTCACTCTCAATCATGTTTCCCTTTTGTTCCAGTTCCCCTTGATCCATTGAGCAAACACTGAAATGGACCCTTCTTTGCTTCTGGACAGTAAATGGAACATCACTATGTGGACACGTTTTCTTGAGCTCTGGAAACCCATAAATGCTACTAGTGTCAACAGTAGTCTCATATTTAAATGTTACTTCCCATTCACATTTTGTTATATTTTAATTTCTGATATTATTGTGAACATGCAATTTGTTACATTTAGCTGAATGCAAATAATTATTTTTTTAATTTCAATTTTTCTTATTAAGTGGATTACTTATTCTCTAAATCCAAATTAAGGCTTGCTTCCAGATAGCTTTCCCGATTCTATTAGGAATCATTTTCTGCTCTCCACTTTTTCTCTTTGTCCTTTCTTCATTAACTATGATATTCATCCACAGAATATACCTTCGAAAAGAAATGTCCAATTGCAATGATAAATATTACAGTAAAAACTTAAATCTTTGGTGTTTTTATATAAATAAAAAAGCAATTTTATCCTGCATGATGGTTCAAGCCGGCAATCATGGAAGATAGTTCTCTAAGGCAGTTTGTGCAGGTATCAGAAAATTTTACTCACCATACAAAACTATCCTGAGTCTTCATATTCCACCTTAAGATGTTTAAATTTTTGAAAGAATTCTTCATAAATAAAAATGAACAAGCATAATCCTATGAAGAAATATTAATATTTTTTTAAAATGAGAGACAAAATGCTTAAAGAAAAGTTAAATGTCACAAAAAATCCATCACCTCGCTCTTGAAACACGAGCAATAACTTGTGTAGAAAAAATAATAATAATACAAATCATTTTACATCATACTTACCAAAATAAATGCCATTTACCAAACTAAAATATACAATTTAACAGAAATATGCAACAATTAAAAAGTTTTTCTTCTCTCCATAACATTTCATAATCATACATAGACAGAGAATAAATGCTTTAATTTAATATTTAGTGATGTCAAATGCTCAAAAGTTAATCATAAAACATTTTGTACTAATAAATTTGATGACTTTTTATAGGATGAAATTAAGTTTCCTAGTGATAGAAGAATGATAGTAAAATAGTGATGAAAATTATTGTGAAGGTTCTCAGTAATAATTATTGAAGAATACAATAATAATAATAATAATAATAATATGAATACATAATATAATAATTATCATCATTTTGCTTATGATTTAAGATCTTTAAAAAAAATAAAAAAAGAATTGAAAATGCCACAATGCCAATTGAACCACATTACTGCAGCATTGATTATTTTGTGACAAAAATAATTAGCATATACATTACTGTTTATTACAAAACATGTTCAAATATTTTCATATTGAGCTTGCTAAGTCCTAAGCTTCAGAGCAAGAAAACATTACCATAAATCATTTTGTACAATATTTTATTAAGCCGAAAACAATCCAAATTGAGTAATTTTATCCCTCTAATCCCAAGTTCAACATGCATAATTTCCAAATTCAATGATAATTTAAAATACAACAGATTGTACTGATTGTAGTATGTCAGATAATCCTGGTAAAAGTGATAAAATGTGCTGGAAATTTAATTTTTACCATCAAAGGTTCTCTTTCCAGAGAAAGAAATGGAAGAGTAAAGATGGGATGGTAAATTTCCGTAATAACTATGTGGCCTGATGAAAATTCTCATGAAGTTGCGAAGTAAAACATCAGCACTTATTCTCTATATACTTATAAACAAAAATTATTTACAATAGACTAGTATAACTATATGCAAGGGTATAGTGGCCAAGCAATTCTATAACAAAAAACAATGTAGGCTTTCACATAATAATTAGGGTTTCTACATAATAATTAGTTGTTTCCAGGTTTGTAGGCCATGGTCCATCGGAGACTGGTCCAAACGTTTCGCCTGCAACTGTGGCAGGCATCGTCAGTGGCGTTGCTGGCGGGGGCGAAGTGCCCTTGCAAGTCAATGCGGTGCTGCCAAGAAGGACACTTCGCCCCCACCAGCAACGCCACTGATGATGCTTGCCACAGTTACAGGCGAAACGTTTGAACCAGTCTCCGTTGGACCACGGCCTACAAACACGGAAACAACTAATTATTATCTATAGGAAAAAGATATGAAAAAGAAGAAATATTCAATTTTCATCTATCAAAACATTTCTTAAGTATCATCAATATGTGAAACTTAAAAGTGTAAAGTGAAATAAATCAACTAACAGCAATTACTAAAGAATAAGATGGTAAATAATTGCAATTAAGACCGAACATCTATAAACAGTCCACCAAGATGTTTTGTTGGCAAGTTATTTACAGTATATTCGTGGCTCTAAGTGGAAGGCAGGTAGTTTTGTATTTTGCCTATAATTCAAAACATTTCTGTATACAACTATTGATAAATCTATACACAATCTCTTTTTTAAATTCAAAAAAGTCTTACAAACATTAATTGCATTGATAGCCCTATCTGAATGAAAATCATAAAATCAACTTTTACTACATCTCTACCTTTTATTTCTGGCCCTGCAAGACTTTTCAAAAAATAACCTCTCCCTCAGCCTTTTATATATCTGAAGTCGTAGACTTCCACGGAAAGTCTTGTGAATGGTCTTGGGAGTCCAGGTGATACCACGTTGAAGACTGTGGAGCCGTCGTCGTCTTCCTCAGGACTGGTCTGCAGTAGGAAGAACACAAGATAACTGAAACAACGGCACCACAGCCTTCGATGATGGCAGCACCCGGAGAGCCATGGGCACTTCCTTTGTATATTTTCTCAATCATTAATTTCAATTAGAAATCCAGAATAAATTTAACCCTTTGAGGTCTAGACCATCATTTTGCCAAAGAGCTTATAAATAATTTGTAGGGTGATGGAACCAACACACGTGTACTTCACACCTGATTTTGTCAGTTGACTCGAAAGTGACCTGCTAGATGACATAAATTTTCTGCTGAACTTATACGGCACCTGGGAGATTTTGGCACTTGGAACATGTTATTTGAGAAGACAAAGTGATGCAACAATGATTTTAAATGCATGTAGTGGATATTCTGCTTCTATGTACCTTCATTATTTTTTTTAATATATTCATATCTATGCGAGATAAAATACTCTTCTGTTTTCATTCAAACCAGTCACTTTGTGTTATTAAGTTTAGGATAGTTAGGATAGTAGTCAAAATTGTTTATGTAATTGTAGAATGTACTGATAGATATAGAGATGATGCTTTCTAATTTAGTAACCCACGATATAATTTGGAAGATGTCATTGATAGTAATGACAGTACAATAAAAAATGGGATTTGAAGATTTATGGTCCAATGCAGATACAGTTAAACTCCATTTATACGTTTTGTACTTGTACTTTTGCATGTTTAGGTGTTATTTATAAGTTCCAGCTAAATTCCTATACTATCTATGCTAAATTATTTCGTATATGGGTATACATTTATTTGTTTTTTCACACTTATAGTCCTGTTTCTATACCGACATAGATGACTAGCGAAAGATTACATCTTAGAAATATCTTTGGTTTAATATTTGCTTTCAGTTGTTTCATTTTGTTGGTAGGCAAGGCCTGACAGTCTTGCAAAAAAAAAAACCTGATAGGAACTGTAGAGACAGTACGAAACCACGCGGTGCAAGAATAACAACACTAGTGCGCACATGCCACAATGGCTTTGCAAAATGTTTGTCAATGTTCAACAGCATACATCTAGCCAATTTGTACAAAATACAATCAATGAGGGACAATCAAGTAATATGGCAGATTATAGGGCAGCCATTACATTTTAATGGGAAAATTTACAGGAAAACATTAAGGTGCACAAAAAAAACAAATGGTCAAATATCAGACTTTTCAAATGTGAGAACTCTCTGTCTTTAAAATGTTGTGCATAGAGAATATTATATGCATATTATTTTCTAACACCAGTATTGTCAAAATAATTGAGATTTTATTGAAGACCTAGATTTTTATTTTCAGTTGTTCTCACTTATACATTTTTCTCTTCACTCCCTTAAAACATATAAATGAAGTTTTATTATACTGTTTACAGATTTTTCATTCAACTAAAAGCTGGGTTACAATCCAAGATGAATGAATCAGCTATTTGTCCCTCTGGATTTTTGCCAGCTATTTTTACTGATAATTTGATGGAAGGTAACTTGGCAAAGCTGAAGGACTTGACGTATGTGCAATCAGCCCTAGCCACAGGGCCATTTCCAGTTGGCATTCAAGAAATTCAAGAAATGCCATTTGAACTGTATCCAGCACAAAATATCCTAATACCTCTGAGCTGCTGGTACATTAAAAAGATGTCATCTCTGGGATGCCGTATGATCACAGGGTTAATAGCATGAATAAGATAATCAGGCTAGTACCTGAAAAATCTATGTTTCTAACTTTAAAATCAGGTTTTAAAAGTCAACAGCATGATCAGTTTTCCAACAGTTAATCAACGATTAATGTGTTCAACATTAGAGTATTGCATCTGAACTAATTCTGAAAAAACAAATAAGAAAAATGTACTAGTTTTTCAGGAGAACAGTTCCAATTTCCAAAATGTCTCCAAAATCTTTGATTTAAACCCTGGAATCAGAATGCATATCAGCAATTTTCTCCTGAAGAGATATGCAAACACTTCAGGAGATAAGAATCGACAAGTGAAATTAAGACTGCACATTCTTGGCTGTTCAGAAAACATGTGTTCTAGCCATGGTTACCAACCATGTAAACATGGTCTTCCAGTCGACCAAGAATCTATTAACTCTGGGCTTTAGAAGCTTTAATCTTTACTTGTACCATCCAGCCTGAAAAGGAGGCATCTAAATACAGTTTGTTTCTAGGAGGGACAAAGTATTACTTTTCCAGCAGGGGACATTAAACTCTTGAGGGGAGATGATTCCTGGCATCATCCATCAATTTGCATCCTACATGGAATTACAATTATGAAAAAGGAATTTGTCATATTGTTCCAGGTTTTTGGAGGTTTATGTAAGCTCAAAATGGTACACTGAACAGTCAGTATATTTAACTTTTGCGCATTTTCACAACTGGTACATATTATATACTATAGTGTCAAATAATACTTTTATGCTGCAAAATCAGAATGGACACTCTATAACACTTTTGTCAGAAGCAGAAGGGAAAGAAAAAAACATTTTGAAACAGAAGAAGCAAAACATGAGTTCCCAATAAAATTAAAATGTGTGCATAGCAATGTCATGTGAGAAATAACAGAATACAATACACAGGAGGGAAAGGGGAAAAGAAAGTTTTAAAACATTCCAGGTCCTTCCAAACAATAATTCGTATGACTTTAATGAAAATAATTCTGAACTTAAAAAAGTAAATGAAGAATTCTACATAAAGAATCTAAACAAATTTCTTTATTTTTCTTTTCAGATTATGCCAATTTCCAAAACTTAAAAACTATGTTTACTGCTTTATTAATCAGAATTTGTGTATTAGCGGTTTTAAAATATGATAACAAAAAAGTTTGTTTCATTTCTCTTAAAATCCACCAATCTCATTAGCTTTCCATTCTACATTTCTATACTGAAATTATTTTTACACTGCTGAATAAATGCTTTTCCAGTATTAAGCTCTCTCCATCCCTTTTGTTCAACAATATGCCACAGTGTATGTACATGTACCCAATCAAAATTGTGTGAAAATGATAAATTACAACAAGAATTTAGATATTTTAGAAACTTTTACTTAGATGACTTTACATTGATAGAGCATCTGTGTTGAATAAATAAAATTAATATGCCTGGCAATGTTAAAAAAACAAAAACAAAAAAAAATTAATTCCAGTCGAAATGTGAATTCAAATCATTTATTAACAACTAGGACTTCTTGTTAGATTAGCAGAATGATCTGATACAGTAGTTTGGTTTAGGAAGCAATTTTCTTGTACAAAAATTATGAAAACCATCTATTGAACATGAATTTCAAAAGCAATCAAAAAAATAACACAAAATCATCCAAAACACACAGAATATTTACATTATTATAATTTCAAGGTAACACAGTAGGGAAACTACATAAAATAGCAAACTATCAGCAAACAATATATTTGTAACACAATAAATATTTATTACATTACAAGCTTTTAAATTTCCATCACATACATGTTAAATCTTAAATCTTTCCTGTTTAGATTACCAATTCAAATTAAGTCGAAGAAAACGTTCCATCTGCATCAAACTACCAAAATTCACATCAGCACTGCATAGTTTCGGACTTAAACCATCCTTCGGGATTGAATTCTTCAACCCATTTCTTGATTGAAGGAGATGCCATGAATTCTTTGCACTGCTGCACAGCAGACCAAAGTGCTATGTCAGCAAGACTAGGGGAATTCCCTACTAACCACTTATTTTTTAATAAATGTTTTTCAATATCTCGAATGCAGGTGTTTATTTGTTTTCCTGAGGAATGTGATAGCCCAAAATGTATTCGATCCAACCACACATCTATTAATGTACTTTCTAAAATGCTTCTCTTTTCATACAGTGATACACTTCCTGGCCATTTCTCATATTCTCGACAAAAGTATCTTAAAATATTAACTTCACCTGAAATAGGAACTTGACTCAGAGGTGATACCGATAAAGTAGTAAGAGAGTCCCTCTCCCAAATAAAAACCACATCATAAGCAATATCTACACTATTTCGTTGATATTCATTATTTTGACCAGTAATTTGTTCAATGGCAGCCACAGAGTTAATGGAAGAATGAGCATGATGAATAATAAGTGCTCTACACACAGTTTTTAGCTGTTTAGCCATGAAAAGAAGAGAAAATGGAGGGCACAGGTGTTTAGCAATTACAACAGCTTTGGTCCTTGTGTGTTGCATTTGAAAATCCTTGGGATTAGGAGCAACTTCATCTTGAATTTCACATGAATCACCACTGCTATTGCCCTGACTTTTCAAAGTTTTCACTTCTAAGCTTAACATCTTTAACTGGGATTCTATTAACTCCCATCGTTGCTCCAGTGTCTTAATAACCTCCTCCTCTGCTGAACCACCTCTGAAAGTTGGAATGAAGAGTTACATTACAATCGAGTATTATGAAAATTGATGGTATAAATTGAATATTAGGTAATAATTATTAACAACAAAAAAAGCACTGGGTAGAAGAAACTCCTACCCTTCTACTTGCACTTCATTCACTGATATGTTTAAGTTTGCTTTTCAATTTTAAAAACTATTGCAGTAGAAAATGGATTTAATCTCTGAATTAACCAATGTAAATAAAAAGTACAATTATAAGGGAATTAAATTTTTCTTTCAAAATGATTCAGTATTTTTTTCAATGCAATTCAACATTATTTGGATTCTGCAAATAACACTTAATATAAATATAAAAATTCAAAACCAATTCCATAAACAGTTAAATTTCATTCACTGAAATATTATTTCTCATTCCTACCATTTTGAGGCAGACAGTACATGCAATTCACTGTGACATATATAATGAATTACAACAGGCAAACAAAATTAATAAAACTCAAGTTTATAAAGCACCCTTTTCACAAGCACATGTCCTGCAGCTGCAAGCTAAGACCTCGTTAATCAAGTAATACATCAACTAAATCACAAAACAATCATCTAAAAACAATTCAATGTTAAAATGTCAGTATCTTCAGGACACTAAACATGATTCTTTTTATATTAATACTAACATTAGAATTAGCTACTACACTGTTCCAACAAAAGGTTTTCCAAGCATAAATATCTCTACACAGGCAAAAAACTCACACAAATATTTAGTGAGGAAGTAGGATGAAAGGTGAACAGGTGGGTGAATTCAAACACAAGCTCTGAAATAAATATTTAACCTGATGTTTAATGTTTATTCTGATAAAAAGAAAAAAATTATTACACAGGAAACTGATAAAACATTGCTAATTGAAACTGCAAGTCATAAAAATCTCTAGTTTAGTGAATGATACCTGTGTAAATACAGATGTATCATTTCAAAATTCAAGCAACAAATTACTCAAAAAGAGTAAAATTGTAGTTCACATGTTCACACATACAATTATGTTAAATAAAAAGATCAATGTAATAAAAATTATGGTAATAATCATAAACATACAATGTTGACTGTACCAAAACTCCTTCAAAACTTAATAAAATGTCAATCAAAACTCAATTCTACAACTGCACCAATGGGACCCCACATTAGGTATAAGGAACATATAATGTAAGAAGCAAACTCTTTCAGAGTAAACATCAAAACTCATGAACAGAGGGACAGGCATGCACATGCAGACATGTCTCTGTAAACAATTCAACGATCCTTCATTTTATTACCGTTCAATAGAAAAAGGAATAATCCTAAAAAATTATTTTATTTTGAATACATTAGAAAGAACAATTTCATTTAAATTTAATCTTCAGAATTTCCTCTCTTCACAATTTGTGGACATATTTTCTGACAAAACCCATTCTAAATCATTAAGACTGAAAATATGAGAGAATTTCAACAAAGTTTGAGTTTTACATTCATAATTTCATCATTGGAGAAAAAACACAAAATGCCAGAGCCTAAACATATAAAAAGTATCTCAATAGGAACAAAAGTAAATAAAAATAAAAAAGAACCATTAAATTAATAATACAATTTTAACCAATAATAAAATTTTAGAAAACCCAAAGAATGGCTCACACACGAATCACTTATTTGCTACCCAAAGCAAGAGAGAGTTCTTTCGCAAAGAACTACAGGCCAATCACTTGTCTGCCAGTAGTGTACAAAGTTATAACTGCAGCCATAGCAAACAAAATATACAGACACCTAGAGAATCATCTGTTGCCAGTTGAAAAGAAAGGATGTCGTAAAGTTCTTAGTGTTGTAAAGAAAAGCTATGGAAGAAAGTCACCTTGAATGAGGTAAGGAAACTAAAACAGAATTTGAGCATGGCTTGGATTGACCACCAGAAGGCCTCTGACAGTGTACCACACAATTGGATTTTGAAGAACCTGGAGATCTATTGTTTTCATCCAAGAGTTTTGCAAGGTCACTATGAAGTCATGGAGTACAAGGATACTTATATACAAAAGACAGGAAGTAATAGATTCAGAAACAATATGGGAATTTTCCAAGGAGATTCACTATCCTGTCTGCTGTTTTGCATAACTTTGATCCCACTATCTGGACAGTTGTCGCACACTGACTTTAGTTACAGACTCCATGATGATGAAAGATCCATATCATATTTGTTTTACATGGATGATCTGAAAGTGTTTGCTAAGAATGAAGTGATTCTCTCCTAAATGCTGCCTTTCATCAATAATGCAAAAATCAACTTAAAGAAAGGCAAAATGACATCAGAGAACACTGAAGTTGATATGCACACTGGGATTCAAGATCTTGAGCCAGGAAAAACTTACAAATATCTGGGCATTGAAGAATGTGAGACCATCTTGAACAATACAAAGAAAGAGAGAATTCGCTGGGAGTACTACAGAAGAGGGAGACTTGTCCTACAGTCTGCTCTGAACTCCAGGAATAAAAATAACTGCAATAGGCAGTTAGTGGAGCCTGTAGCCAATTACAGTTTCGGACTCGTATACTGGACTGAGCAAGAAATTCAAATCATGGATTGAAAAACCAGACAACAGCTTACAATGCATCATGTCACCCACCGTCAAGCTGATGTACATAGACTTTATGTGTCATGTAAGAAAGGGTGAAGAAGCCTCAAATTGAAGCCTCCTCGCACAATGCAATAGTTGGGATGCAAAAGTATGGTCAGCCATCAAAATGACCCTAAAGAATGGGGAACAGAGACATACTAAGTGTACAAAGAAGTATTGCAAATTAAACTGTCCAAGACACACAGAATAACAGAGACACTGATGCTACTAACATGAAATGTAAGACACAAAAAATATTAAAGAAATCGTGGAGAGAAAAAACATTCCATAGACAATATCTAAAAAGAATGGACAAGGTGCAGATCAATACATATCAATCATTCATGTGGCTTAAAAGGAAAAAAATGAAGCAAGAATCGGAAACGGTTTTAATAGCTGCCCAAGATCAGGCATTGAGAACACAACATTATGATAAAGTGGTTCTCAAACTTTTCCAAGATGATAAATGCCGCATTTGCCTATAACAAGTAGAAACAATTGCCCAATTCTATCAAAGACCAAATACTTGGAAACACCCAACAGGATTTGTAGTTACCTCCACTGATAGATCTGTAACGCCTTCAAAGTTCCAAACACATGCCTCAAGTGGTACCAACACTCACTGAAACTGGTGGCATCTGATGGACTGTGTACAATGTACGATCAACAAATTCAAACTGCACAATAGCAACAAACAAACCAGATATTGTTGTCCAGGATTTGGAGGAAAAAAATCATGTTTACTTGTAGATGTTGCTGTTTACATGCGATAAAAATGTAATAATCAAGGAGGCAGAGAAACATCTTAAATGTAAGTTTGGATATCGAGATCTGTTGAACGTGGGGCATAAAAGCACAGGTTGTCCTGACTGTTATTGGAACTCTGGTGCAAAGTATTGTAGAAGCACCAAGTTAATTATTATGGGATGTAAATTTTGCATTTTATTACATTTCATGGGTGCTCAACACTTCAGGTACTAAATAAAGCCCAATAAATATACTAAATAAGTCCATGCTAAAATTTTGGAATTTCTGGTTCTGGTTGTGAGCGATGGCAAGCATTAACAGCAGGTCCTGCATAAGACCAATTAATAAATATTAGTGAGAAGCACATCTTTCGCTGGTATAGTTAATAATAACTCATGTTGAAATTCCCATTATTAAGACTATCCAAATCTTATGCAAGCTTTCATATTCACAAGCAACAGAACTCAGCACATCACATGCAGAAAATAAATTAAGCAATCACATGAATAACAAACTATCACAAAGTATTAGAAATTCCATTGCGCACCATTTATGTACTAAGCATTCATCCAAAAAATTACTGCTACAAATACCTAGCCCAAAAATAATCACAAAAAATTTACCCTAGTCAATCTTTTATCAATACTGACATTATCATTCTTAAAAGGGAAATATTATCAATTAAACATTGAACTAAATATTTTAAAAATTACCTAAATTATATAAAAATATTGGCAACAGTAACAACGCACTTAAATTTCAAGTAAGAATACTTCTTTGGGTTTCAGCACACATCGTAAGAAAGCAATTAAGCAGTCCCTGGAAATCCAACTTGTTTAAACAATCAGACAATAACTCTACTTTAATGCTTTCTATTTGACCAGCTGAATATGAAATTTCGTGAAATGAATAAGAAATGATAATAAAAACAATGGATAGCAAAATTAAAGATAAATCATGTGTCGCATCCCCAATCGGTAGGCCATTTATAATGCATTGGGGTTTGATAGGTAAACTAACTCTCAGGGGATGACTGCCTCACCAGCAATGACAATATCCAGATTTTTGTTTTCATTGTTCAGCTTTAATTATAGAAATTTCTCGATTTGACCACTATAAGAATTGACGCATACATGGTAATGGCAGTGCATGATCAGACACACTCATATGTGGACAACAAAGATTACAACATGATATTGTCATTACCACGGAGCAGATTGTCTCATAAGAGTCCTTTTATCAGCCGAATCGCAATGCACAACGAATTGCCTAGCAATCACAGGCATGATGATTAATCAAAATTGAGTTGTGTGATCACCATCAACACAATTACCTACATGTCCTAGAAGTTAGTAGCATTTATTCTGAGACACCTGCACACTAATAAGATTTGCACTTTTCTCCCAAAAGTAACGCAGGAAACCACAGTTATTCACAATGAATTAATAAAATTTGATACCTAGCAAAAACTCCTTTTATTTTTAAAATACACGTAGCACAACATTCGTCAATCCACGTTTCCACACGAAATGCTTAACCTAGTGCAACAAGTCTGCTGGAAAGACGTAAGAACAAATTGAAGTATTGTGACAGGGTGAATAATCAAAATAATTTCAATTTGAAGAAACATATATGGAGTATGAACAAGATGATGCATATCATAGCAATGAATGTTAAATTAGAAGACCTTCACCCCAGCCAGAAGACTCAAGACTTCAGACAGGCAAAAGTAGTTCCACTTTTAATTTTCAACACATTTGGAAGATTTCCATCAAGGCAGAAAAAGTTTGAATAATTAAAAAATGTGAAAATGCATGAAATCATTTCAGCTATCAGCAAATGAAGGCTCTCAGTTAATAAATAATTATGTTTCACAGATTTACTCAGGTAGATGGAATACGTTACTTTACAAAACCTCATTCAAATAATTGGTTTAAAACAACGCAAGTAATATGAAAAGCAGACCTTACTACATTCAGAGCTTACTTCAAGAATATTTCAGTAGTTACTATAATTAAAATAAAGAAACAGGAGGTGATCTTTGAATATAATTAAGGCCAATGATCATTATAAAGATGATTTTCGCCAGACTCTCTTGACAATTCACAAAGACCAAAGATGGGGATCCTTATCTACAAATAAGAAATAATTTACATTCAGAATGTTGAAATAGATTATATGGAATCTATTGCAGAAGGAAAAGGGTAATAGTTGTTTACATATTAAGAGCTTACAAAGACTTCTTTTCGCAATCAAAATTGCATATTTAAATTGCACTATTTTGCAGAGACCAATAAGTCAAGGCAAAAAATAACAATAGAGATTGTGCAAGAACAATCATTTTACTTATGAATTACAATATTATTTCTAGAATCATATAAAAATGCTTTTATTATGAATCATTTGTTTCATCTCTACTCTTCATGTTTATTGAAACAAAGTATCAACTTCTTTTGCCATCTTTTTATAAACTACTTTGTTTCACTGCCGTGTTTTCAAAATGTCTTAATAAAAGACTTAACTTCACGCACATATAGCAAAACATAATCTCCATCATGTTATAGCCATCTTAGAAAACTGATATTTTATTTTTCAATTGCATAGTTATAAAATAGTTTACTTGTTGCATCAAAGATATATACCTTTTGCACTCATCACAGGCTAAAACCCTCTTATAAGAAAAAATACTGATACTTAAGTTTAATGTATAATGTACTGAGAGGGTCTTTATACATTAGAGAAAATGCTTTTCCCCTGCCTACTAAATGTTAACAAGTTGAATGTTCACAACATAAAAATAAACACAAGTGTATCTCCAATAACCGTTTTTAATTTATGTAAGTGATGGAAGTATTTGGACATCATTGCAAGGTCACATAATCAATAGCTCCACTAATCAATATTCCTACTATTCCACCTATTCAATAACTACTAGTATTAAGTTGTTAAAGGATGACCACTACAACCAACATTCATCGGATTAAAACCGTTAACACCAATTGTTAACCCCAATTATTATTTTCTTCACGACTCAAAGGTTTAAAGTCGGTTTATCAAGTTTAACTGACATTAGTTTCTTCAGGAATTCCACTGAGGCTTAGATGAAAATTGTTTCATTTTCTCCATTTTGCAAAACTGTTATTTCAGTTTTAGCCAAGTTTAAACATACACAAACTTTTTTTAAATGTTCTCTGCAATTTATGCCCAAATATAATATAAAGCAGTTCTGTGGCACTGCAAAGTTCAATGAAAAAAATAAGGAAAACTAATAACAAAAGGTAAAAATGTCAAAATACTGATATTCACTTAAGATTTAAAAGCCAATAATGTTAATAAATACTAATATCACAGAACACATACTTAAGACAAAAGGGATTTTTGAATTATTGTTTCATAAAGAGGATAAATTTTTAATTTTAATATTTTCCTTCTTAATATGAAATAATACACAAATCATTTAATATATTTATCTTCCGACTTGATTGATACAGAAATTTGAAAATGTATGAAATATACCAATATAAATATGATCTGTACGTACTTCTAAATTACAATGAAATTGGAGAAGAAAATACTATAAAACAAAATCTGATGAAACTTTCTTCTCACTCTAAAAATAGCACCAAATGCAACATTTATATTTCAACAGCACACACAACAGCTTTCTAAATTTCCCAGACAATATAAAATGACACAGGTGTCAATGAATGCAAATACTAAAATTTAGGATAAAAATATTATTTGATTTTATTTAAACTGCCACGTTTCTGTCTAAACGTGATATGGAAAAGACATTGCATTGCCAGTCCCTACTCTGACCATGTTATACATACATATGCCAATTTCTACCTACATTATTGCAACCACATGTTTCAAATTCATTATCATATCATTATAGTTAAACTCCTCTTGGCAACACATTTGTATAAATTTGTACTTTTAACACTTCACAGACTTTTCATTACATGAATTAATATTTAACACAATAAACTTTTTCCTTCATGATTATTTAAAAAGTTAAGGGAATCTGTTCAAGTAGTACATCATTAAACTGTAATATCCACACAACAGCGGAATACAAAAATTTGCACCATAACTTTTCAGTAGTAAGTACTGAAGACCCAGATTACGTTGAAATAAAATCATTGAATAAAAATTAATATTAACAATTAAGCACATAGAAGCTTCAATAAAACAAAGAACTTAACAATTTCAAAATAACAAACATATCTTCATTAGAGATTGGCATGCACAGATATTGTCTCACATTAAGAAAAAACAGTCCCTTAAAACTTATCACCTCTTGTACAAATCTATGGTATCGACAATTTAACTTGAAAAAGATCCAGAAGAAAACACACCAATGCTCATTCAATGTTTATGCATTCAGGATACTTCTCAGCAATTAAGAATCGAAATATTAAAACTACATCTTCAACAAACATGAATGTGTCAATCTATATATCCTATGTAAAAATAAGGAAAAAATTACTGCTAAAGCCACTGAACTAAAATAAATTGTGAATGAAAGATATATACTCAGGTAGACCAGTAAATAAACACATTCACTTGCATAATGAATTTCCAATTATTCATTTGCCAACTAGCTATTATTGCAGTAAGTACAGACTTCATATTGGCTATGAATGAATTTTATATTTTCTAACACTGTCATTGTATCCCTAACTGATAATTTGTAGGTGACAAACAATGCACTCATTATGATACAAATATTCTAACCATAAAAATTCTTTGAATAGGATCCTCTCCAGAACTGTAGTAATTCACTAATTATTATAAAATTATGTTTAACTAATCTTCTTCAGAGAATTTAATTACACAGATATTAACAAAGGCCAAATCTTTCATTAATTTAAGAATCCATTTAAATTGTAATTATTATGAGTTTCAAATTTGAAAAATACATGCTTCTAATTCATCGGCAACATTACAATTTCATTGCTGAGCAACTATCAATGTTTGCAGTATTGGTCGAAATACTTGAATTTTCCTTGCAATCCAAGGATTAGCTGAAAATTACATTTCTCAGGGCAATAGTCATCTCTTGACATCAAATGGCAATAAAACAGCACAATTAATAATAGAATCAAAAACTATTGTACAAAGTCATGCAAGTCTGAGAAAATTGTACATAAACAAAACCAATCTACAGAAAATTAAGTTTTGTGCAAAATTGGACTTTTCTACACTTGCAACAAAATTCTGTAAATAACAAAGCAATTTGCAGAAAGTGCACAAGTAATAAAATCAGTAGATTAAAATATTCTTACGTAATTCATTTACAATATGAACAAATAAGCATTGCAAATGAAGTTTAATATGAAGTGTCAATTTCCAATTTAAAATGTTGATAATTTCTGCCAAATCTATCTCTTCACCTATCACAACATGAGAATTCTTGATTTCACTTTATGTCATTTCAAGATGTTACATAGTTCATTTATAACACAGAAAACTTCATTTCTAATTAAAAGACACTTCCCATTTGAAAACATTTTCAGTGCAAGACTGCATTACACAAAACAAAATAAATACAATTAACAGAAACAAAAGCAACTACACAATCAATATACCATATTTACTTATATTACACACAAATCCATTGAGTTTTACCAGAATGTCTTCATTGTTAACTGCTTAAAATGTATTAAAGTATTTAGTATTAAAATAAAATACATTATAATAAACCTTGGAATTCAAATGCATAATTTTCGATGTTTTAAATGTATTTCATTACAACCTAAGGCAAGTAAAGTAGCCACACTGCTCTGAATATAGAATCTACAGAAGGAAGAACATATAAAGAACGTACAATGTAGGCTTTCACGGCCGGTTTCCATATCAAAATCAGTTGTTTCCGGGCTTGAAGGCCGTGGTCCAATGGAGACTTGTCCAAGTACTCCTTGGACAAGTCTCCATTGGACCACGGCCTTCAAGCCCGGAAACAACTGATTTTGATATATAAAGAACGAGTATAAAAGAATTCGTTAACCATCTGCACATGTGACCGTGTTTACATTAGAAGTGACCTCCAAGTTCCCCTTTGGTTTCTCATGACACTTTTTTTTTTTGGTCATGAAATCTGCATACCATATTTACAAAGAGTACGATCCATTTCTAGGTTCCATCTGTCAAACTGTTTGGTTTCAATGGTATCTGAGCAACAGGAAGAAGTTGCAGCAGTTTTCATGCATACTCCTATTTGTTTTGCTGTTAATTCAACCACACCTACACTACATACTTTTCTCATGCTTCCTTGCACATGATAGCAGCTGCAGAGAAGTGGTGTAAAACAATGGCAGGCATCCGTCCATGTTGTGACTCCATGCCTCTGATATGGACTAACAACAAACGATCCCTTGGGCAAGTTTTCAACTAGGTAAAGAAAGTGGAAATATATGCGTCCCATTTAGAGGTACATAAAATCAAATTGTGTATTCTCTTTTTCAATCCAGCAAAACACTCCCCATCCCTGCGTTCTCATGCACAATACTCATTGGAATGGCCACATCAAGATATTTTTATTTCAGAATATTTATGTCAGTTAGTTTAATTTTTCAAGCCACCAAAGAAAGGCTAACAATGTTGAATTCTGTCAAATTAGAGAATTTAATGGGCAATATCCCTGAACATTTTTGACAGGCTTTGTACAGTTCTCATTTAACCGATATGAAAACTACCAAAAGTTACACAAAAGCAAAAAATTAAAAGATTTACTAAGTCTAATAACATTGTTATTATTCCATTTTTCTCCAATGAACCTCTCAAGATATCTGATTCTATTGGTCAAGAGCAGTATAGCCCATTCTTAGTTTCAAGCATTTTCCTATTTTACTTGAAACATTAGTGATGAGAAATGTAAAACTAGTAAATATGATATACTATTGCAAAACAAAAATAATACCAATTACATAAAAGTAGGAAAGATTATTACTTATCAAGACGGCAGATGGGATTATCATACACCATCTTCAAATCAACTTTGGGACCCACAAGATCTCTGATATTGTTTATTCCATACTTTATCATTGTAGGTCTGAAAAAAGTAAATAATGTAGTGCTTAAACTTTCCTTACCGTCATAAAGTGTATGCTTACAATGACAAATGTAAATATTGGAAATAGGAGACTATGCTGTTGGCAATTATGAAATGAACTTAATAATAGGTCTCATTCTCAATGAAAGTGTTAGGATTACCAAATGGTAGGAACATTACATTAACACACAATGTGCAATTCACAATTACCACAGACATTCAGTTGCTAGAGTAGTCTACCAAAGTATCAAGTTGTAACTCAAAACAACACAAAAACACAGCAAAGTTTGCTAAGGCAAAGTACGTGTGCTTTTTGCTCTTGATTTATAATCAGATAAGGGTACTCATATAAGGGTAAGGGTATGACATATCAGGCGAGAATGAATATTCACGAAATGATCCTTAAACGATAATCTCAAAGAATAGAAATACCCTACTAGAAGACTTGGTACTTTCTCTCCCATCAATTTATATCGATTTTGTACTTATTACATTTTTTATAAGCTACTTTTAATTCCAAAATTTCATCTCTGATAACTGTAAAATTTTATTTTTAATACTTTCATTCTAAACAATATTATCAAAATTTGTTTTCAATTTTATTTTCAGACATAATTATATAAATTTTTGTTCACACCTGATGTTGCATTATGTGAAACAATGTGTTCCAATATATGATTTTGGCATCAAATTTTTGCACTAGATGTAGTTAGAATACGGGAGTCAACCTCACATGTTTTCATCTAATTTGCTCTCCCACAAAATGCTGCCTATTTTGAGGCCTTAACAGACGTAGTAATGTCCATACTATATAATTCATAAATTTAGGTTGAATGTTCCCTATTCTAACGTTCTCTTTTTCATTAATTCTCTACTGGTAAGATTGTGGCCAATCTGATGACGCATACATAAGTATTGGTCTAACTAATGTGAAAAAGAAAACTCTCCAACTGAAAACTGATTATTCGATGTGTCTAATGAACCTCATACTTCAATCAAATATCATACCCAAATTTTTTTATCTCTATAGCAGAGATAAACGATATGAGTATCTCTCTATCAAATAAGGATAATTGTGGCAAGACCTTTTTCTCTTGAAATTTTTCTTCCATTTTACATTTTATTAATTAGCCAAAATACGTAATTCCTGCATCAAAATGGTAGGGTTAAGCATCTCAAATGCTTTAACAAAATCTGGGTAAACTACATCCACTTGAGAGTTTTCCTACTACCTCTTAAAGATGAAATGTTGAAGGGTCAACATGTTTGCTGTGGTGGATTTTTTTCCTGAACCGTACAATTCATCAATGAGAATCGAGTACCACACAGTTTGTCCAAAATCAGAGATTTAAACAATTTAGAAATAGTGCACAATTTTAAAATAGGATTGTAATTGTTCATATCAACTCAACTTCTACTTTTAAATATGGAGGTAATAAAATTAATTTTCAACATGCCCAGAAAAAATTCATTGAGAATGAGACCTAACTTCTAATAAAATTTCAAATTATTACCTTTCCAAAGACAAACCCCACGCTATTACCGTTACTTCTTCAGGAAGTCCCATTGGAAGTAACATTTCTGGCCTGAAGATTCCAGAGTTGCCTACTTCCATCATTTTGCCCAGACCTTCATGATAGCCAAATATTTCCATACTGGGTTCTGTATATGGGTTATAAGCTGGTTTAAATTCAAGTTTCTCAATACCCAACTTACTAAAGAATGTGGAAAGTGTACCTAAAAAAAAAGAAAGAAAGAAACATGGATGTAAATAAAATTCCAATACAAAAAATCTTTCACAAATATTGTTACATAATTTAAAAAATTCAATTGAACAAGTAGTCATTACAACATGAAAACAGTCCAAAACCAGGGCATATATACACATATGCACAAATTGAAGGAATTACATATCTGAATGCAACATAAAAACAAATGGTGTGTAACAGCACATACTTTCTCATCCTCAGTAAGAGTTACCTAATACTATTTATAAATCTCATGATTATAACGAAGTAAGGTCTTTGTTCAATTTAAGCTCCTTGAGATCTTACATAGAATACGTGGATTTCCTTTTCTAAATAATCTCATTAATTGGAATATACACGCTGATAAATTTTACTCAGTAATCAAATGGAAGACCCTGCTCGTGAATTGCATACTAATATGGATGAATTGTTCCATTATATCCATTTGCTTATACAAATTATTATTATTCCCAGATATTGAGGATTAGTCGTGAAGCAAATAGCAACCAAAAATAGTAACATGTTCTCAACTCTTCTATAACTTTAAATGTTTGTTAAAAATTTTATTGTTAATTGATTTTCATTAACTTTATCTGCCACATTGTACATTTATTGATTCCTTTATTTTGTACCATACACATTATTTGAATTATCTTTGAATATATTGGGCTATTACTTGTTACTCAAATAAATAAATATATCGTAATTTCTCTCTTAATTAACACATCTATTCATTTTTTTGTAAAACTCTATGGTCAGCAGACTCACAAGGCTTTCCATGACAACACATACATGAAAGACAAGGGACCAACAACCACGCCCAAAGCGGGACTAAAACCCGCAACCCTTCAGACCGAGACGCTGAGTCGGCACATGCTCTAGCCACCTTCACCATCCAGGTCAGCAACAATTATAACTGAGTTCCGTAGAGCTAAATTACATTCCAACAATGAGAAGTAATTCACAGAACTACAGCTACTGTCTCATGAGCCGAAATGCCATTGTCACATTCTAATCTGATAATTTCTGAAACCTAGGAATTTCTCTCATATCACATTTAAATCATATTTTAAAGAGAGACAAAATTCATTGGGCTAATTTCAAATTAGATTCGCAGATTGCTTGAAAGAAAATACAATAATATATTGAGAATTCAAATACGTTCCTTGCAACATGGACAAAAAATATGAATTATCAAATAGGTTTCACATAATTTCTAACAGATTAATTTGTAAACGTAAACAAAAGCTTGAATGAAAAGAGCAAAGAAATAGGAAATGCTCAAATTCTAATTTACGTAGCATCTAACTGCCTCCAAATACTTCTCAAATTTACTTTCACAAAGCACAGGAAATTCGAAATGGGCGATTAGGTTTGACAGCAAATTACACAAAAACCTAGTGGTGCTAAATCAGCTCAGATTTTCTCACCTGTACTTTCACGCAAAATTTTGCGAAAAGTACTCAGATTTTCTAAAAATTGTACATTACATCATTTGAAGATCTGTTTTTGATGAACACATTTCATTTTTTTTAATGTTATCTCAATAGTAGTTTTAGGAAGACACCAAAAAAAATTGAATTTTTGCAATTTTTGGAGAAAAAAAAAAAGAATATTAAAGAACATGACAGCTTCACCATTCTCATAAGTATCCTATACTCTGAGGTGAAAATGTAATCAAAAAATTGATTAAACAAAATTAAAAATTGCCTACATTTCATGCAAAATTACGCGAAAAGTAACCAAGTTTTTGAAAATGTGTACATGATCTTATTTCAAAATTTGTTAAGGAACAGATTCAAATAAGGCAAAAAAATTCCATCTTTAATATTTTAGTTGTGACTTTTGCAATTTTTGAAAAATTAGGATTTTCAACTATCATGAGACCTGCACCACTAATGAGCCTATGAGAAAAATATTACAGAACAAGGAGACAAGAGATTCTATGAACACATCCAACAACAGCACTCCTCAAAGTCAACGTACCCTACATTGTGACAAAACAAAATGGCAAAATGGTTGAGGATCCTGTAGGAAGAGAGGAAATCTTCACAAAGAAGTTCACAGAGCTCTATACATCAGAACCTGCATTAAATATCAATGAGATGTTGGAAACACACCCCATGCTAACCGATATTCAATTTAACGAAATTGAAATTGGGCAAAACGTTAGTAACTTCAATGTACATTCAGTGGCCAGCCCGGACGAAAACCAGAACATTCTAACCAGAATTCTATCTAACTGGATTTGACCAAAGTCGATTCACTGCATCAAACCTTGTATGCTCTCTAAATAGCTGGATGAGAATTTGGATAACAAGGAATCAATAATACCTTGATTCCACAAAAGCGTTTGATAAAATTCCACATCTCTGACAGCTTTGGAAACTGGAGTGAACAGGTTTGAGTGTACACCTTTAAGGTTGAGTTGGCGAATTCCTTAAAATCAAAACCAAAACCAGACACGAGTGGGTGAGATTTTGTCTTCGTCAACATCAGCCCGAGTGCCACAGATTACAGTTCTGATTCGCCTGATATGTATTTATATATTTTTTTTGTACACTGCATTCCAAAGCAATACCAATCCAACCTAGTGCATTCTGGTGGCCTGTGAACCCAAGAGCAGTTTAATGTGTGACAATTCTGCATTTTGTAGCTCTAGGAACTGAGCGTCTACATCTTTCATGATGCCATTTTCTAATTAAAATTTCTGAGAGATTTCAGATGGAAGTAGTGGTGTTGCCATTAACTCAGTCCAGAGCTCTTGGTTGCGGCTGATTAGCCAATGTGATGTTTGGGATCTATCTTCCCAATCGTATCACACATCCGTTTTGTCAGTCTTCACAGAAGTCACCAACACGAGACTGCATGTGCGAGTCAATTTGATTTTACATCAGAGTCTGAAGCTTAGTAGGAAGGTAAATTGCGTTTCAAATTTATCAAATTTTTCGGAACAGATGTTGCCCTGCAGATTACGAGAAAGAACGAAGGCAGTTGCTTTTAGTTGTGTGCACACAAACATCAGAGTGAGGTCCGGCACACAGACAAGTGAAAATGTTAAGTTTTTCCTATCCTTATTAAATGATAGAAGATATAGTAATTTCTCAGAAAATAATTTGGAAATGTATATAATTGTATATTATAATGAAAACTATGAAGAACATTTCTTATAAAGCTTGTAGGAGAGCCTAAGTCTAAAGCTTAATATGTTTGGTTTCTGAAGTTATTTCTGTGTTATTCAATTTTTGTATTTACTTTTTTGTATTATTATGCCAATTTAATTTTGTGGGTGAATAATATTTAAAGTAACAAAAGTAATGTGTTTAATCAAATATTGTTTAGCACTAAATTTTGTAGATCCAATTACGCTGCCAACAATATCATTAAGAGAATCTGTAAACTTGCAAACAATTTTTGTAACATTTTAGACTCCTTTGAGCCTAACTCAATATGCTTTAAAGCCTTAAAAAGTCTTGTCTGTATCTGACCCATGATATTTTATTTTACTTTATGTATTAATACAATTTTTATTTTATCGCTTTTATTATCTATTTTTGTATCTATACTATGTATAAATTTTTGTGAAGGGTTCATCCCATTGAATAAACAAACAAACAATACATACCGTAAAATCTGTCTAAACCGGAAAATTCCTCTGGCCCATGAAGTTATATGGTATTTTACACACCATAAAACAGAATCTGTCCAATGCGGAAACATAATGATATTTCATGTTGAATGGTAATGATGATGATGTTGAATGATAATCTTTATAAAAGAGAATTATTGGGAATTTAATGTGATTGGCAGAAATGTGAGATATTATTGTTATTAAATTCTCACTCCCACGTGATAGTCATGGCAACCGCACTGTGAAGCAGAGGGGCTTCAGCTGACAGTGCAGAATTCGACCTTGGGGGTTACTTGTTTCTCAAGGCCTAGGCCGTAGGGAAATCCCCCCCTAACTCCAAGTGTGAGATGTAAGGGCATGGCTTCTATTTCCATCTCTCCCTGCCCCACGTTCACATTCAAAACCCCTTCGCCAGACACACATTGATCAAGCTCATGCGAGGGTATTAGAAAATCATATTATTTTGGACTGTGATGCATTGTGAATTAAAAGAGTCAGCAAGCAGTCCGATTTCACCCATTAGCCAGTGAGGTGGTGTGTATTTTTATGAGTTTCACGACCAGTTTAACAATGCAAAAACCATAAAACTCTAGCATTCTCTAACATTAGATGAAACGGTCAAACTTATGGAAGCAAGACAAACTCAGAAGCTGTGAATGAAGAATGTTTAATATTCATTTATTGGTGATTTCATACATAAATATATTACATGTAAATCTATTTTAATAATCATAATAAAATCAAGTAATTTTTATTGACTGTGATTACTTCTTTACTTACAATAAGTTTTAGAATGGAAATATCAATATTATAAGTGCCATTAAATGTACAACCCTGGATAAAACAGAAACCTCCCTAAACTGGAATTTTTTTTTTGCCCCAATCGATTCTGACTTGCACAGATTTTACCGTACAAACTTAATGATAATAAAAACACTAAAATCATAATATTAAATTTAACATCCAATCAGTAAAATAGAATGATATGAAGATTCATCAGTGGTTTTAAGCTACATAACAGTTTTGAAAAGTTCTGATAATTTTCTTGCATTTTTTGCCTGTTTTGCTGTTTTTACTGCAGAAAAATCTGATCATTAATCATGACATAACAATTCACATTATGCCAAAAAGGCTGTAATTGTAGTCATTCAGAGTATTTCACATATGTAGGAGCCTTGAAATACTCCCCCCCCCTCCCCCATTTATTCCATGCGTTTGCTTCTTTCCCTTTTTTCTTTCCCTTTCTGGATAACCTAAAAGGATCTGCCTAAAAACAAAGCCCATTCACTGGTCTCATTGAGAGGGATCAAATGAACTATTGATCTCCGTAGGTCCTGTAAGTCACTGAAAGCACATTTTGGTTGCATAAAATACACAAAAGCACATGGTTTTGGAGAAATATCTTAGTATTTTCTGAACGAATCCACAAACTAATCATCTCTTCCCTACCAGAATAATGAGACACATCAAATGACACCTCATTTGCCATTTCTTGGTGGACAGGAAGGGATCTGTAATGTTATATAAGAATAACAAAATTTCTACTTCTATTCTTGAAGATTTGCAGAAAATAAATGTTATGAGAATTAATGTAAAGATTTGCAAGTACATAGAAACAATGCTCATGTAAAATAAAAATAGCTTAGATGACATTACTGAAAATCTTGGTGCAATACTTAAGAAGCATTTGCATACATTTCTAGTAATGAACATTTTCTCTAACCGAGCAAAAAATTGTCTACATCAGTAGGCTGAAAAATGGAAAAATATTCCTGCGTTGAAGGGTTAACACTTAATTTCCTCTCAAGATTTAACTGATACAATTCTTCCAAAGAAGGAAAAGGGAGGGGGGGAAAAGGTAGTAAATAAAATATATTCAACAGATATTATAAAAACATGAAATTAATCTTCTTAAAGATAGAACGTCAATAGATTAACTTGCAATTGCAATGCACCAAGAACAATCTCGATTAAAGATTAACAGATCAGCAACAAAATAATTTTTTCACTCAACACACTGTACTAAATAATTCATACTCCTTCAGCTTCCTGTCTCTCTCTTTTTTTTCCAATTAGGATACTAGGTTACTTTTCCAATTAGGATTCCAACTATTACCAATTAGGATATGACTGCCATTCAGAAAATTACCACTTACCAATTAAAGAGCCCAAATTCAAATTATAATCAGCAATCACTCCCTCCACTTGATGAAACTCAGCAAGATGTGTGGCATCCAAAGATTCATTTCTAAAAACTTTATCAATACTGAAATACTTTGTGGGTTGAAATCCCTAGTAAACAAATACAACAGAGAAAATAAATTAATTAATACTGCACTGAACCTTTAAACATGCAATTCCAACAGAAGATTCAAATTTACTTTGTCAATTAGTTTTGTAAAACTCAATGGCAGAAGAAGTGAAAAATGAGTGAACAAGATTTGTGATGAAAATGAATATATACTATTATGTAAAACCTATGTATATCGAAAGTCCCCACCTGACCTTTTTACAGCACAAATAAGTAGAATTACAAGGATTCCTGGGAATTAGTTGTCCATTTCTTCAAACTTCATTCTTAATTTTGAGCAAATAACAATTTGAAGACAATACACCAAAATTCTGTTGTCCATAAAAATATTTGTTTCCTGAAGTGACACATACAATACGGGGGTTGATGGTTAGGGCTCACTTTTTGTTGTCAGCCACCTGTTGTTTAATCATTCTTAAAAAAATGACCAATTCACAGGGTTTGAATTATCCACAATTTTTTTCAAATTTCTGACAATAAATACAGTTTTCTATACATGTCTTTATTCCTGACTTTCTTCTTAATGATTATTCCAAGAGTAAATCAAACTCATTATGAATCCAAACTACCTAAATTCTGAGACTAAGCTAACCATGTCAAAAAAAACTGTGCATGTGTTCTTCATTTGCAACACATTATCTGTTTAAATCTTACAGACCACATGGCTGCACAACAGTCATATAACTAAGCATAACAGGTTGATTGAGGAAATAAAAAGAGTACAACAAAAATTCCCAATTATTTCTGTTATTTGACAATAACAATTTGAAGTTAACAGTGATTAAAAATAAAGATGATATTGATCCATGGTAAAAATTAGTTTTTGAATTGCTTAAAATAAATGAAACATTGTACGTCCAGGTAAATAAAGAAAATTAAACAATATAAAAATAATAATAGTTAATAATAATAATTATTATTATTTATTATTTCAATAATAATAATAATTATTATTATTTATTATTTCAATAATTTGTTGTTAACACAAAATGTAAAATTCTTTCGCCAAATTAAATCATTATTATTGAATTCTTAACGATACTGTTAAGGGCAACACAATATTTTCATTTATCACAAAACAATATCTAATCCATTTATTTTCTTTCATTTTTATGTGGCCTATAAACAAGATCACACAAATATACTTTAAATATATTCCATTATCAGCAATTAAAAGATAGAAAAGTCTTTGCAGTATTCTTTCGAATGAAAAAAATGTTTTTCTAATTCATTTCAATGTCAGTAAAACTATGAAACAAAAATTGGAATGCAAATAAGTTTCTTGGTAATATGTAAAAATAAATGGAACATGCAATGAAAGTACCTTGATGATTAAGGTTCATGAACTTAGTGTATAGAAAATACACAGGAAAGAATATACAATAGGCTATAATTGGATGATTTACAAAGTTAAAAATTTGAATTTCAAATTCAACAAAAATAAATTAGCAGAAATTATTTCAGAAGAGTCAATAAGCCAATCTGTTGGTAATAATAAAATGCAAACAACTTTAGAGCATTTCAAAAGCACTCTTTCTTTCAAAAGACAAATGAAAAAATGATATTAAAATGTTTTGTTTTTTTTAAATTTTATTAATTTTTTATTTCTTTGTCAAAGAACGGTAAAAACTGTACATGAGGGAGAAGTACAATCTGCACACTTTTCTTGAGCTAAAGAATCTCTTCACCAATAAATAGTTGAATGATGAATAAAAGTACCAACAAAGTGAGAATAGCAACATTAAAAAACAGACATTTTCTTAGTAACGTACACACTTTCTCCTAAGTAATAGAAAATTTATAGGCATTAGTAAACAAATTACAGATTTAACTTTTTAGCATTGCAAAGAAAATAGTAAACCAAAACCCCAGCTCTACTCTTATCACAACAAGAAAAGGAGTGCTCAACAAAACATATATATATAGTGAAGTTACAATTTACAAACATAACACATAGTTACATTTACAATTATTATTATCACATATTTATGATGAACGTTTACGGTTATCTGATGTTCCTTTGGTGCTGTGATGTATCTATTAGATAAATATAAAGGGATTTAACAAATATTTTTTATGACTTATCAGCATTTGATATACAAAAACAAACAAATAGAAAATATTAGAATAAGAAATGTATTACTCTAGCAAAATTATCAAATTTATCTCAAACCATAAATCACTGTTTCCCCTCACTCTTTCTTTCACACTTGAATGAAAGTCAAAACTTGTCACACACTAAAAGCAAATTCAAATTGAAGAAATCAACAATAGTTACAGAAGATTTAATGAAACAACAAAAAAGCCATTAACAAAGAAAATAATCCAGTGTAGAATATGACAGACCACAATATGGCAGAAAGTTTTAAAAGTACATGATGAATTATATTATTGTAGATAAAAAGATTTTGTGACAAATGTAGATTTATTATTAGTGTTCTTGTTCAAAAGAACTTCGATTCATGTTCAAATTTCCTAAATGTTCCTGGATTTTCAGATTTCATTATTTCTTTTTTCTCTCAGTGCACCATCACTTCCCTAATTAAATAACTAATGAAAAATATAAAAATTAAATAATTAATTAAAATCCCTGATATGGTAGGGACAGTATACCTACCACAAGTAATCACCAAACACCATATGAGAGGATGAAGAGGGCAAAAAAAGGGGAGAAAGTATAGAGTATGAAACGCTGGACATGTTAAAGGAACAGCCCATGAGACCTTAACTTAATATTTTAATTATGTTGATCCAAATAAATTAGAAGGGTTTATATTAAATGCTTCACATATTAATATGTTTGGGATAGAATTAGTTTGCCATTGCTGGAATAACCTTATATACACTAGTTGGATGATTCAATACATTTAAAAAATAATTCTTACCTCTTGAGCTATTTTATATAACATTCTTGCACTAACAGCAGTTGTGTGAGTGCGTAACAGATTTTTACTTGCTTCCTCTTCTTTCCATTCATATCCATAGCCTTGCGAGCCATACCCTCCTTCACTATGGACTTTTTTCACCCTCTGCATGTAATCTTTAGGAAAGTTCTTGCTTGTGGCTGGTTCTGCATCAAACAAACTAAATTAATACCTTTACATATCTCCTGGCCTCATGTAATTGCTTGATCAAGGTTTGACTACTGGAAAAACCACAATTCACATATAAATTAATCATTTTTGCTTATTTATTCTCTTGTTTCAAGTTTGTAACCTAAATAAGAAAATAATGACATTTACAAACATCAACTAATATCCCAGCATTTGTTAATGTTTTGAATTCAAGCTACAAGCTTTTTTAGTCAATATGCTATATGAGTTTCCATAGCATATATGGGGGACTGAACCACTATGAGATCATATGAAGTTAAAGGTGTTTTTTCTTCCCAACAAACCATAGCCCAGTGTGAAATTTTGGCACATTCGAGGTTTTTATAAGCTCCCAAAAGCTGTGTTTCTTATCTGTGGAGTTGGGCTTTGGCGATTTTTCATTATTTCAGAGGATAATGACCCCCTCAATTTTATTGATCTGGTCCATTAAGTATTTATATTACTTTTGAAAATACCTGTAAGGTCCAAATGTGCCTTTGGGGTCATTTTCTGTTTACAAAATATGAACAAATGGTCTTACACAAGCAGAATTTTGAGGAGAGCTAAGAAAACCCAACATGAAATCATACTCCATTTCATCTGAGAAACAAAACAAAACATGCTTCACCTTCCGGAGCACAAAACCTCACAGGTGAGAAACAACAGTTACACTTACATACTCAGTCCAACTCCACAGCTCTTTCCAGCAAAAAGTAAATGCCATTGACTCCGTTTATGTCATACTTGTACTACAGCAAAACCCATTGTAAGAGACAACGTTATAAGGAATAAAATTCATGATCTCAAAGTCAATGCATTCATTTCCCATATTTCAGAGACACCTCCCCCCCCCCCGTCCTATGAAATTCCCACCTATTGTGGACAACCTTGAATTCTCCGACCTGCATTTCTTCTCAGTTCAGCAGGGGTTCCCAACACCAGCGCTAACGGGGGGGGGGCATGATTGTCACGGCATTGGATTTGGGAAGCATGTTGCCATCATGCTATAAGACCACATTTTTTAATTTCTTCTCAGAAGTTTGGGCACTAATTTCAAATTCAAGTTTTTGCTAGTTTTTTGGAAAAAGGGCTTCGTAGTGTAAATTTTATTTTAAAATGGCGTTAAATGCTGTTTAGATAACGAAAATTGGATAATTGGTTCAGACTATTGGTAAAGTAAATTCCCCTGTGCCAGTGCTGTGATCTGTTGGATTTCCCTACAAGTATTTTTCGGTACATTTAGCCTTAACTCGTATGGTACTTCTCCAGCAAAAATTATAAAATTTTTAATTAAAAAGAGCTAATGTGGCTTATTGACATATTTGGGCATCCAAGGAAGCAAGGAGAGTTTGGGCATTCTAGTGTTGAATAAGCACTTTATTGCCCCCTTGTGCATAAAAGTTATCAGAATTAATATACTCTTAAAAATGTATTTTCTAAGTGGAAGAAATAATGAAAACTAATTTTCATTTCATCAATCTTACGAGAAATGGTGTGCTCCTCATGAACACCTATATTTAATAAGCATCTTATTTGTACTGAAATTATAAGTGCTGTACGTACCAGAAATGAAGAATGTGTCATGTGCATCTCTCGCAGGATGCTGCTGGGGTTGGAAGAGTGCATCAAAATTCCAAAATGAGCTTTCTACATAATTATTAGTGGGCATTTCTTGAAATCTAAAACGGAAGAGACCACATATTATTAACAACATGCTGGAGTAGGAACAAAGTAATTTTTAATTCACTGCACATAAAACTAAACAAATAGACCTTTGCAACTAAATTATATCATACCCCATTTCCAGAAAGATTTTTCTTACTTCTGCCCGCACTTTTAATAAAGGATGTAAGTGACCACTTGGTGGTGGGGTACCTAAGGCATTGAAATTATAAGGCTTGAATTGTTGACCTTTCCAAGAGCCACTGTTGAGCATTTCTACAGTAAGATCATTAGCTTCCTTCTGAAGTTCAGTTGTGAATTTTTCACCTTTGCGTATAATATAGTTTGTGATTATTCTGCAATGCAACAACAGTTGAATACGCTTAATATTTTATTGAAAGGAAAGATATAAAAACAATATGAACCAGAGTCAAACAGTCCTGTACTTACACATCTTGAATCAATTTACGCTTCTTGTAATCTTGTTTTTGCGACAGAGGAACATTAATTGCATTATCGTTTAGAATATCTTTCAGATGTTCTTGAACAATATCTGACATGGGTTTAGTTTTGACTGTAACCAAGGGCTCCTTTTGTGTTTTATCCACACTCAACCATCCAGCAGCCATGGCTTTATTAAAGCCAACAGAGCAAATTTTCTTGTCAGGAAGACATTGCTGTATAACAAAACTATATTTCAGCATTTACAGCAATAAAATGCAATTGTGACAAATTAAGCGGCAGTATATTAATGAATTCAAGAGATAGCTGTATCTAAAATTACGCAATTTTATTATCTCAAAAATTTGAAAATAATATTTCCATACAAGGTGCACAGATGAAAACTGTATTAAGAATGCCTCAGTTAATAAAAAGAGTACAAAAATCAACCATATTCATGTTTTCTCTCAGTAACTTACTGGCATATACAAAAAGCTTACCTTTAAAATTGCAGTTAATACAGCATTTGGTATTACATTAATAATAAAAATTAAATTAATTAATTAATAGCAAATTAAATTAATACCAAGAAACAAACAAAAGAATAAGAAATAGTTAAAATTATGAAACAAGGAAACAGTAAACTTGATAATGGAGAAGAAAGAAAAATAGCTATAAAAACCTACCTACAGACAAGAAGTGTATCAGGCCATGTAGAATAGAAAAGACTATGAGCTAAGATCAGAATGATAACTAGAAGACAAAAGGGGAAGACTGGGGAAAAAGACTTGTAAAAACAATAGAGAAAGATGTAACTGTTGGCTTCAAAATTATGAAAAAACTAAACATGAAAAAGAGAAACACTACATATCAACATTATGGCAGAAAAGCAAAAGATCAACTGTATTAAGAACTTATGGTACAAACAAAAACAAAAAAACAAAACACAAGGGAATACAGAATACGCCTGCAAACCTAAAATAAGGAAGAAATGTAGCAAAAAATAAAATGAGAGGAATTGAAAGAAATATCAGCAAGTGCAAAAAAACAGAGAGAGCCCAGAACAAGACAATATCGACCTGGGGTTAAAGTAAAAGAAGGATTCATCCCCTCTAACCTACACTCAACCCGCCCTAAATATATGTAATGCTTGCAACAATACTCCCCTTTTACAATAAGTAAAAATAAATGATATAGCAGTAAAAAATGATTTATGTTGTGTTATATATTAAAATTTATGATAATGAAAAACTCCTCCTGCAGTGTGCGCTAGGGGGATTGAGTACCTCGGTAACCGCTATCGCCATTCCCTGTTCCAAAACCTGAGAGTGGATATCTCCAGTGAACGCCATACATGCAAAGAAGCTAGGGAGCAATCCATGTAATGATAGGATACTTAACCTGTAAGTCCAAACATTGTGCTAATGCAATACTTAATAAATATAAAGTTTTTGAGATACAATGATTCGGTAAAAGATGTTCTCTATCACTAGTGTACTAAGAAGAAATGCTATTTTACGAGTTTTCCTCTCTTCAATTACATTTGAGCTTAAGTTGTTTTCCTTGAATTTTGAAACTTGGATATAATATAATGGATTGTGTAATCAATATTCAATATGCAATTTCATTTCACAATACTTTCTTTTTTATTATATTTACTCGACAAACTTGCTTGAACTTTCTATTATCATTTTAGAATATTTATAATGTAGATGAGTCCTTACATAGTTTATTATTGATAATTTACAATAATGTTGCATTTACGCAGCTTTGGAATTAGTGGGACTATTTGGGACTACGGTCATAATATGATAGAACAAAAAGAAATCCAATGAAATGTTAAGGAATAGGCATGTAACTACTGTTTCATATTTGCGTTCTTGATATAATTATCTCATCTAGAAAAGTGTCTGCTCTATATACATTTAGCTTTCTGTTATGTAACACGAGATTTACAACTGGAACAATAGTTGTGATTTATTTATTTGATAAGTTGAATTTCAATCTAACTTTTATATGGGATTATGATTAATATAATTTAGTTGCTAATAAAAAAAAAAATTGTAAAAACGAATATTAACAATGCTTTAAGAGTAATTATTTATCTTCCACAAAAATTCTGCTTATTTTTAGAATGATAGACGAATATAGAGACCTCTATCAACTGCTTAACTTATTTCACTATTGGAGGCAGATGATGACCTTGTCACTGGAAATATGATTGATGCTGTATACATTCCTCGTAATGCTGACAACTAGAGAGATGAGGAAAATATAGATGATCTTCTGGAAGAAAAAAAGTAGAAGAAGAAAACTTGATTGTCAACTACAATTGTCAGCTAATGACAAATATATAATATTGCAAAAAGAATGAAGAAAAGATGTCACAACTAGACTGTCGCTCTTACATAACTATGAGCCTAATGAAATCTGAAGACCGCAAAAGAAAGTGAATACAATAATAAATTACTGAATATAAAGGTGACAAAAAAATGCCGTTTTGGTCGACCCACAAACAATTCCCTACATACAGAAGTAGATTATGATGATGTAGGGATAACCGCTTAGGTGGCTTAGTGCATCAATTGATACCATTGCAATGCCTCTGTCTGGAAGGCCCTGGGGTTTCAGTCCTGACGGTGGAAGGATTTTTGACAATCACTACACAGCTAGGAAGAATTCAGCATAATTCTAGTGGCCTGCCTTAAAACAAGATGTAAATGAGCAGAGACAATTGACATAAAATTTACAAGACACAACCCTTTAAAAGGAATTTTACAAGGAAATTTCAAAATAGATAACATACCCAGACCACCACTATGAATATCAAGGGATAAAAAGGGATAAGAACACATTTCTGATTCTTTAGAATAACTATTAGACATATTTCACAACCAAAGCGAAGTAGTTGACTCATACAATTAAATAAAACTAAAATAGAGATTAATCAGAGTATTACAATTTTCTTGAATGGTAAAAATATATTTAGAAACGAGCTCCGTAGTACAGCTCCGTCGAATAAGAAGTGTTAGTAGGGAATTATTTTGAAAGTGCATTTTAGTGAGCTTAAATCAGTGAACTCACAGATGTAAGTTAAAACAGTAGTAGAATATTTGAATGTTCTTGAAGATTTTTGATAAGATCGCCTTGTCAACTTCTATGTTCAAGAGTATTAGTTCATAATTTCAGTCTATCTGTTAAGAAAGGTTATTTGATCAAGATTAAATCACTGTAGCTAATTTTGGACACTCTTCAAACTGGCAATGTCTTCAGCAAACATATCACCAAGGCTAGATTAAAAGCCCACATTATATTGGTCAGACTAAGTGATGTAAATCTTTTTGAAGAATACAGGTGTTAAGTTTTTTAAGGCTTTGCAAATGATGTATAGCATAATTTCAATAAGATGTACAGGACTTTAAAACTACTGTAATCACACCATCTTCTTAATGAAATGGTCTGTACAACCAAATGCAATAAGATATGAAGGGGAAACCAACAAAAAAAATTCTATAAATATCACATCTGATAACCAACCTTGATGGAGCAATCATGACTTACAGCCCCAATTATTGACATGACATCTTGGAATGACAACTCCCTCACTGACTGCTTTCTAAAATTCTTAGCACACAATCTTATGGGGCATCAGAACAAAAAAGAAAATACAATTCAATACAAAACGTTGAAAACATAATGAAAGAGGTGAAAATTAATACGATAAATTTGAAAATCAACAGCAAAACACAACCGTATAAATAAAAGATAAGGTTTCATAAAAATTACACAAAATTTAAAAGAAAAATCCCGCAACTGTCCTTAATCCTATGAACATCTCTTCTTCTACTAGACTGCCTTTCTACCTTGTTTAATTCAACAAAACTGTAATACATGACGCTTCTCTACAACTGTAATAAATTTTATGCTTAAGTCAGTCTGTATGTAAAACCCAGTAGTGGCAGTTTTGAATTATGCCACTAATGAATGAGTAATAAACCATTGTTTTTCTGTTGCTACATTTAATGTAGGTTTCAGTGACCACACTGCCCAGATTCTAACACTTCAAACAGAAACAAAAGCCGCGGAACAGACAACTTACAAAGAAATCCGTAACTATTCCCAAGGAAACATAATAAAATTTCAAAACTTACTCAGATTCGAAAACTGGAAAGTATATAAGGCAACTGATACAAATGATAAGTTTAACTCATTCATAAATATATACCTAAGGCATTTCAATGCCATTTTTCCTCAAAAAGTCAAAAAGATCCGAAATAAGAAAACTAGATCACATTACCACAGCCGGTGACATTACCATACAAGGAGAATGTCTGACCAAAAAAAAATTCTCTTTCTGTCTGGACGTGTACAAATTGAAAGAAGAAAAAAGAAAAAAAACTTGTCAAAACTTGCCTCCTCACCATTTCAAGTTTTAAAATAAAATGTACTACAATTGTTAAATTTTATGTAGTTGCTAACAGAATTGGTATGTATTGTTCTAATATTATTATTAATGTAATTATTATTATTATTATTATTATTATTATTATTATTATTATTATTATTATTATTATTATTATATGATTTGTGGTAAGAAACAGAATCAGGCATCATTCACCAAATAACTTTTAAGTTCCACAATTCAGTTCACATCATGTTCCGCATAGAAGTTTCATTTTTGCATAGAAATTTCCATTGAACATACAAGAAAACATATCAGATACATGAAAGTTCACATATCAGATACATCACAGAACCAAATATTTAATAAAAGTATTGTTGCCACTTAGTCACTACACAATCGATTGGTCATCTGAAACTATCTGTTGTGGGAAAATGGGACAGTGTATGAATATTATTACTGAGACAAAAATTATTAGTCTATTTCCAACAACACTTGATAAAATATTACAAAGAAAACAAACTATGTATTTTTCTAACACCAAAATCAAAATGTGCATTTCTATTGAATAGCACAATGAATATTAGAATAAATAAGATAGTATAACAAAAAATATAAGAAGGAAGATGACATTCTAATAACATATAATATATAGAAGTACAATATACTTCAAACTACAACTTCAATATAATGAATTGTTGCAACAGTCATCCAATCTCATACACGACTAAAATGAAAAGTGAAGTTCAAAGCAGTATTATTTTCTCTTGAACAACGAACACATTCCTCTCAACTTTAAAATAAAAAGGATAGCCTAATAAGTGTGAAAATACATACCATCAATTTTGTTAATAGAATTCCTTCAGGAGGTACATTTCGAAACACTTGCATTTCATGGCTACCATGTTTTACCACCTCGTTTCCTTCGCCAGTTAATTCCCATGAAGTGACACTTTGCTTTTCAACACCAACCACCTAAAACAAAACAACAAAAATAAAAAAAAATGTCAAACTTAGGAGCACGAAACATTCATTTCCATAATAAATGAGTTAGTAAAATTAAAATAAATATTTTGTTAACTGCATTTACATTGGTTGTATTTACAACATATGGTCTACATTTGACAGCTGAAAAAATACAGAATTATCTTCACTTTGTAATTTAATACACATCTTAAGGAAGCAAAATGCAGAGAGAAAAAACTATACATAATAATAAACTGAAAATAACTGTACTTAATATGAAGTCTTACTGAACTAGCACATTTAAAGAGTATTACAGAAATTCAAATTACTTCACAAATAATACCTGCAAAAAATAACTTGTTGAACATTTAAATTACACTTAGGTCTACAATAATGAAAATAATTATTTTAAGATCACCATGGATTAAATATTTTGTATCAGGATCTTATTTAAAACATTGGTGCTTCATTATTATAATAAGAACTATGAGGAAATAAGATTAAAATTTAATGTTTCATAAACTACAACACAAAAGCCAAACATGTCAAAAACAATAGCAATGACAGCACTGCAAAACTTCATTTTCATTGTTGTACAACCCCCCAAGTATTTGAGTTAAAACAATTACAGCATAACAGATACTTAATACATACAATTATAAGAATAAATAATGAGATTTAAATGAAACCATCAAAGTTTATTACAAAAAGTGGCATGCAACATTGTAGCCGATGACAATATTGTTGCAAGTCAAAAAGATGCAAAAGACAAATTGAAAGGAATTTCAATAAGCTTTGTTTTAAATAACACTTTAAACTTTCATTTTACACAGCTGACAATTCAGTGGAAATCATATTCTAAGTTAGAATCATGAAAGGTTATCCATACTTACATCTTCGAATATTTGGAGGCTTTTCAATGTTCCAACTAGCTTTTCGTGTTCTACGCCCCATTCTTTGGCCAATTTAAGCGTTTCGACACTGTCATTCACATTTAACCGCGACAACAGCCTTTCTTGAAGAGACATTCTTCAGTCACACTCACAACCTCAAATTCACCATACCACGCGCACCCACTACTTGCTTATTTCCGCCGGTCGTGTCCACAGAGCACCCACTGTCCAGTCGAGACAAAACTCCACGCAAAATCACGAAACGTGTACGCAGCATTTACTCTTTGGATCGATTCGCATTTACTCTTTGGATCAATCCGATTCCGTTTGGCGGACCCGTTTATATCAATCGGTGTGAATGGGTAACAGTCACAGAACGGGAAACAATCACAGACGAAGTACGTCGAGATGTCCAGAAGGACGTTTCGTCTGGCGGGAAGGTATTGGGTGGTAACAAATACTATGTATTTTAATTTTGCGGTATAGATTGTCTTTAATTAGGTTCTTTTTTGTTATTGAAAGGTCCATATATTTTTCGACAATCACCTATTATTTTATTGTTTATTTTTTTTAAAATGACATCTAAAAAAGAAATTTACAAATTTTTATCTGCCAAGTAACCGGTAATAACGTTTCGAAGGGGCATTGTTACTTCCATCTTCAGATTCTAAACACAAACAAACAAACCTACATCAGAATACTAAAGAGGCAAATAGACTATAGATAAAAACTCTATAGTAACAAATCCTATAAAGAGTCTACATAGTATTTGGTGGCAACCTCTGCTGTGCATGTTTGTGATTACTAGAGAACTAGTAAGTTTTTGGCTGTATTAAGCGGTTGTCGAGGTTTGTGTTTCATATTACAGTGAGATTTGTTTTATTTAGATTCTGACTGCATTTCGTTGACAAATTTAATTTAAAGAAGTTCTTTTCTATATTCATCAAGTCACTATCTTTTTATTTGAAAATGGTTTGTAGTAAATATTATCATGACCTTAGCGATGATGCTAAGGTGGTATTTTATAATAAAATGAAATCTATGAAACATTCGGATCCACGTGCCCTTTCATCGGATATGAAAAGTGCCAGCGAATTTCGGGCCACTGTTCTATTCGTAGTAGAAGTGACTCCTTCCGTATATTTCTATGAACTATCGGCTTTTTCAATATTTATTTTAGAAAGTTACATTAATAGTAGAAGTGATTCCTTCCGTTTATTTTTTTTATAAACTATCAGCTTTTTAAATATTTATTTCAAAAAGTTGTTTTCATTATTAACGTCGAGAGAAATATTACTTGCATTAAACGTTAATACTGTTTGGAAAAAAAATTCAGGTTGGAAGAATTTAATGTAGTTGTACTAAATTTAAAAGGGACTGAACAACATTTAAATATAACTATAATAGTGACAACCAATTTAAAACTTATTTATTCTAATACATTGTCTTATATACGTAGCTTATTGATTGGCCTAAATTCGGTTGCTGTCTTTATATTTGTCAGTTTTGGAATTGGTATTACTTTGAAAATTTTCCGTGACTCCAAAAAATCCCATTTCTAGGGAATTATTTATATTCACTAACACTACTTCTAATAATATATTCGATATTAAAACAAGCACTGAACATGCCACTTGAAGTGAAAAATGATATTATTATTGAACAATAATATAATAAATATACATCACAACTCATTAACTGTACAGAGCTGCATGGGCCAGGGCTGCATGAATCCTGAGACCCTCGTAATCATCACCTTTCCGACACACATCATGGGTGTCATTTATTTTAACTTTTGTAATTCGATACCGTCTGGGATTTTTCACCGTAAGCTTCAAATTGGCTCAAACTGGGTGCTATTAATGGCTACAGAATCACATACAACATATTTAGAAACCCTTTTTCTTGGTTGAAAGGGGCTAGGGGAATAAGATGGGCAAAAGTGCCCCTGGGGATAAATATTTTTACATTGAAAATCATATTTGAAATGTAAAAACGACAATTGAAAACTTGTCTTTTTACACTTCAAGAACGATTTTCAACATTAACATTTTGTATCCCCGGGGGAGGGGGCATTTTTGCCTTCCTTTTATTGCTGCTCCCTTTGCTCAATTTTCTTCTTCTACCTTTTGAATTAGTATCTTGGCTTCTCTCACATCATTGCGTTGCTCTTCGAACGAATCTATGAATTCTTCGTCTAACAGCTTGACAAAATGTAGATCGGTTTTACTGTGCACCCTAACTCCTGTCAATAACACAAATGGGATTCTTCCGATACTCCTCTGGAACGGAGAATTGATGGCACCACCTATACCATTTTGTGGGATCGTCAATACTAAGCTTTACGAAGATGGATTTTAAAATGGTATTGATCCGTACTAGCTCGAGGAAGTCCCGTTTTTATCAGAATACGTCGAATCCCCTCCGCCGTACAGTACTTCTCGAATTCTTGTGATGTAAATGATATCCCTCGGTCGGTGATCATTTGAACAGGATTTCCGAAGTTTGTTTTCTGTTGCTCCATCTTTTCTGTTTCATCTCCATTCTTTTCTTCCATCATCTCTGTCATCTTTGTCGTTTTCACGGTAAAGGCGACGACAATTTCGTAAATGCGTCGACAATGCATAGTTCACAAGTGTACTATCCGTTTAATGTAGAGGTCCAACGTGATCTATGTGGTAAGTGTGGACCGCCTCACTTTCCTTAAACAGTAGATGGAGAATATCTTTCTTTCCGCCTGATTGTCAATTACTAAACATTTGATACAATTGGACATCAACTCTTTTCCTTATCTGCCTACCCCGGAATGCAATACTTTCTTCACTTTTATTGTTCTCTTAACGGTATAATCTCTCCTTTTTTAGAATAGTCCGAATCATCTTGCTGCATCAGTTAAGTTATCAGATTTTATTTCTTGAGTCCATGCTCGTCTCACAAATTTTATGTACTCTGGATAGAACCTTCTTTTGCATCCTATTTCTGATATATGTGTCAGATATTTCCGACAACTGCAACATCCCTAGATATTTACACGAGTCTTCATTGCCTAAGTATTCTATGATGACGTCACCTGAGAGTTGTAATTCGCTTTCCTCATGTTGGACTTTACCAGCTTAACATTTTATATTGCATATTTGTCTAAGCCAAATTCCATGCAGATATCTATACTGAATTGTTGGACAAGGGCAAGTTCACTTTGCAATTGCATTATTACTTGCGTAGAGTTTGAGATCGTCCATATAAAACTGATGTGATATACTGTAGCGGTACAGAATTATTAAGATAAATTAAATTGAATAAAGTAGACCTAAGAAATTTTTTACTAAAAAAAACATACGGCGCTACGCGCGCAGCCCCCCTTCTTGCAACAGCCACAATCCCCTGACCCATTTCGAATGTTTATGACACCCCACCCAACAGCCGAAGGAAGGGTAAATTGTAAAAGCGCCCAGCGGGAGCCCACAATCTGGAATACTTTCCGAAACGCCTGTCATCGTGATCGGGGAAACCGCGAAGCAATAATTCAGTAGCTGGGAAGCCCCTTCAGAGACGAGGTCTACTTTCGAAACAGATAATGGAAAAATCCTATACTCCGCCGGAGCCCTATTGGCAAATTTAGTGTACAACGCCATCACCTTTAACCAATAGCGACGCGACCGTTGTAGGAGCAAGAACATATGAGGAGAAAGGGTGGGATAAAAGTTAACGTCGTGCATTTATGAGAAAACAAAATTTCAGTTGTTGAGAGACTTCTCTGGGGTGGGAGCCAAGGTCGGGGAAAGGCGAGTGCGCCTCTGAAGGCACTTGGTTAAAATTTCAGTTGCGTTGAGAGACTTCTCTGGGTGGGAGCCAAGGTCGGGGAAAGGCGGAGAGACGAATCTGCAACGCGAGCCCACCGTGTGGAGCTCTCACATGCACACGTGCAGGGTATAAGGCTCATATCCGGCTCTCGCACACGATTCGTCTCTCAGGAATGATAGCATTATGTTACCGCTTATTTATTGTTATGTCTCTTCTTCTCGTCTTGGAGGTATGACGCTCTACTTTGTAGAGAGAGTGAGGAGCTACATCGAATTGTGGCAATTGTGCATTAAGATGTATAATTTTAGAGGAAGTGCAAAAGCGCTTCAAAAGTAAATTGGCGAATCCTTTGTAATTGCGTATTCGCTACAGAATTTCGCAACTTCTGAATCTGTATTTGAGAGGATTCGCATAGTTTAGAGGGAGACATTGCTGTGTGCTCCGTACCTGGGATCGGGGGCGATATACCCCGGTTATCTACAAGTTCCGCCGAAGCAGCCTCCAGACGGCCCTTCTGCTGACGTCACGGACTGCCGCCAGACGCCACTGACCGTCGCAGCCGCCGTTGGTGAGGGCGTGCGCCCCGAACGAATTCCTGCGAAGGTCGCCTAAGCGCGCCCACCCGGGCCTACAGCACATCTACCACGGGGGGTTCTCAAGCAATGTAACTGGGGGCAATAAACCTTTTGAAGTATTGTCAAAGCGGTGCCGCGCCAAGGCACAAGAAAGGTCCTCAGGGACAACGCTGTAAATCCTAGCTATAAAATAATTTTATACTCTTCTCTAGTTGTAAGCCTTTCTTTAATTTTAATCTGTTTCTTTTCTTTTTATTCAATCTTTTCTTTCTTTTATTTTATTAATGTAACTTCCCTGGTACAGTTTGTCCAGGAATAAACTTTGTCTTGTTACCAGTGATCAAATTGTTTATTTTGAATATCTATTAATTTCGTTAATAATTCCTTCCATCACCTAATTTTAAATGAGCAAAGGAAATTGTTACAATTGGCTAGTTTTTACACGAGTAAAGGGAATAGGACCGACTGAGCTATAACCGGGCCGCTAACCGCGCATTTCCCTTCGCCGGGAGATGAGTAGAGGTGTTACAATACGAACATCTGGATTTCTTTTTATACAATACCCATGTACTAAATAATCATTCTACTTAGAAGAATAAGAGATGCAGAACTATAATGAGCTTAAACTGTCACCCTGAAACAACCCTCGCCGGATCTCAGTTTCCCTGGTCTGTAACTGCCCTGGTTCACGTGCATAGAAGTCTTCCATTTGGACATACGCTTAGGAAATTCAATGAAGCTGGGTTAATTTTATAAATCTCTAGGATGCGCAAGAGCCACGTGTGAGGCACAGAGTCAAATGCCTTTTTATAGTCCACCCTTCCTACACATACATCATGTAGGCATTTGCGGCCTTGTGTAACCATACTATCTACATTCAGTAATTCTTTGCTGCCCTTAGTTCCTTTTCGACAGCCAATTCGCTCAGGAGGTATAAGGTTTTAATTTATTAGATCATTAATTTTCAAAGATATAACAGCAGTTAATATTTTGTATAATGTTGATAGACATGTGATTGGCAGATAATTTCGTGGTTGTAGACTGTTACCTGGTTTAGAACACATAAACGTATTACCTGTTAATAGGTGTTTCGGAATGTGGCTGGATCTTGCAAAGCAGTGACAACCTAGCCATGTGTAGGTGAAAAGCAGCAAAGTATTTTTACCAAACATTATGAATGTCATCTGGACCACGTGATTTCCAGTTCTGCGGGTTTTTGGTGATTGCTTTAATATCTGCTTCAGTAATCATAACTGATGGAATTTCATCTATATCTCGGGAGGCTCATATTTCTCTAAGAAGACAATATTCGCAGCGACTCGAAGTGACAGTGAGGTACAGACCAGCTTTCAGACCAGAAATTAACCATATCATCATTTGAGGGTTAACATTGCCGCTCTCCTCCATAACAAGACTCCAGTTGTCTGTAAAACTTCTTTTGGTCGGGAGAAAAAATTGATTCCTGATGTCTTCTTCTTTATGCTTCGCTGTACCTCCCGATTCTCGCACACAAATCTGCAATCCTTTGAGTTCCTTTCCCTCTACTTCCAGTTTTTTATTAAGATTTTTGGAACTCATTCTGATTTTGAAACCCTTAGCTATCGATTTTATTCAGGTTTCCACCCTTTTGGAGATATTTCCACCCTTGGCGAGATAAGGTCAATATCTTTCCTAGCTATATTAATTTTGTCCTCAATCCTCCTGTTCCATAATGGCACAATCTCAAGTTCCCCTGTGGGAGAAGTTACTGGCCTTTGTTTATTAAATTGAATATCTCTCTCCATACTCTCAGACAGCTAAGGCAGCACAATGCACTTCTCCAGCTAGCTCTTCGAGGGAATTAGGTGTGATGGCTAGCTCTCCGAAAATAGTATTCATTACTTTAAACACATCGTATAACTTTTTATTTCAAGTTATTTTTGGTATACGCGGACAATATTGCAGTGGTATACCTTGAAACAAAATATGATACTTTTGTTAGTTTTCTCTCAGTGTTAACAGTGTTCACATCAACCGATATTATTTGCTATGTTTCAGCTACGTGCGGATGAGTCCCGCTTCAATTTGTGGTACAGCGATGGCCGCCTACGAGTACATGTTCGACGCTACCGTGATAATCGCGATCTGTCTGCCCGCATTGTTCCGCACCATAGCGGATAAACGCCAGTGTGTGATGGTTGGCCCCATTGGCCCCCATTGGCTCTATAACACATGACCCCCATGGCCATGTGTTATAGAGTTTTCTGTCGAGCCATAGCCATACGTTAGTACTTTGAACGAGTGGTAAATCTTCCGGGGGACGCTTTATGCGAGAATGGAAAGATTGCTGAATCAAACTCGTCAGATGACAAAGTCCTAGCCATAGAATCCAGAGACACTCCAGACGTGGTTAGAAGTGGTCGACCCCCCGCTTCAAGCGCGCTGGGGCGGGGCAACGTTCTAGTTCCTGAACTAGAGAGGCGGAGAGGGGCTACGTGGAATTCCGGAAAGGAACAAGGGACGGAAGGGGAGGTAAATGAAACACAGGATGCTATTATAGCTTGCAATGAGATTATGGCGAACTATCATAAGAAAGGATGGAAGATCACGTCTGAAAATAAAAATATTAACATTGCAACTCGGATGACCTGCACAGCTTTATTAGAGGTCAATGAAAACTACTTATTGTGGCGAGAGCGAGTGACTACGTTCGTCCCACACGCCCACACATCACGAAAACGCCAATGGTAGAGCGGGTGAGCGAGCGCGGCGCGGTTGGAGAGGGGCGCGCCGGAGCCTACGGTACTGTTGCGCGCTATGTCCGCGGCACGGCGCATGAATATGACGTGGAAGTAGGCAGACTGGAGAGGGGAAGAGGCCGCGCACTACCCCTACACGTACAGGGGGACACGGAGGGACATCGTGCGCGGTCCCTTTTTGCGCACGATGCGCTCTACCAAGTACTGCTGCGGAAATCGAGTGCGTTGCAGTTTTTGAGCGTAAAATCGTCCCGTAATCGCCTTTTGGAGTTCTACAAGAGAATATGTGATGAGATTCGAAAGATGAATGCCTTCGATTTTGAAGAGTTCTGTGCCACAGCGCGGTTCATAACCCTTCCGGAGCGGGGAGCTCTTATACTTGCTCACGTGGACGAGGTCCCCGAAATAAACTTTTTTCATTTGCCACTTGTTGACAGTTTTCACATTGCCGGAAA